TGGATCAAAAGATATAGGCAAAAACTGTTAATTCTATAGTAATTTCATATAAAATAATATAGCCAATAGTTTTTTGCTAATATCTTTTGATCTAGTGATCCGAATTGAATAATTTTGATACTATTGGATTTCTTTCACAAGACAAATCCAATGGTACCAAATTAATCCAATTTGGACTGCTGGGTCACGAGATATTAATATTTTTATAAAAAAATTAGGTTATTTTTCTTCAACCCCCTCTAACTTAGCAAAAAACGTAAAAAAAATGTTATTTTTGTGAAACCCTCTCTCTTTCTTGTATAATATTATTTATGGATGCCCCCTAATTTCTGTCATGAATTTTTATATAGTTGGCCAATCGTTTATCAATGATATCTCACTATCCACTAGATCGATTTGAATAATCTAACTACTGTTAGATACGCTTATACATGGGTGCCTAAATTATTTTTAAAAAATCGTATTTTCGGCAAACATTTCGGCATTGCTAAATTTTTTATATGAAGCCCTTCAAAATAAATATATTATTTGATGTATTTTGATGAAAAGAGTTCAAAAAATTTCGGCAATAATTTCGGCAAATATGAAAATTAATTTCAGCACTATATAAGACTAATTTCGGCTGCCTAAATGCTATAATTACTTTTTTATTAAGATGGACAATTTAGACACCCATATATAGATACGCTTCAACAAGCTCTACAATTTTTAATTAGTGGCTATATATTGTTAACTTAGTAAGAAAAAAGTTTTAGATAGAAGATATTATATTTCACCTATTCTCCAGTTGATAGGCAGATTATCTATTAATTAGAAAATCAAAATTATTCATAAAAGCTAGTTATTATCTATTTCAGGCTAGACAATTGAATCTAAATAGAAGTCTTTAAGAAAAGGCTTTAAGAAGTTTATTATTTGAATTGTTAACTAAGTAAATAGAAAAAGACTATTTGTTGTTAGAACTGGGAAGTGTTTAAACTAATTGAAAGGTTGTTTCAGGTTTGTATTAGAGAAGTTGCTACCAGGAAACTGGTGAGTAACAAGCTGATAGTGAGGAAATTGGCATTGAGATATATTCGGTTGAGATATGTTGTAAGATAATTAAAATCTAATAAGTGAATAATATAAATTTTTTCTAATTAGGATAATAAGTTTTGAAGTATTTAGTTTAAAATTTTTGAAGTATATAATTTAATATAAGAAATAAGTTTACTTAAAACACTAAGAGAGATTGTCTTAGTAGATTTTTATGTTATAGTATAGTTTTTGTTAAATAACTTTAAAAATAAGATTTAATTATGTAAGACGTTTTGTTAGTTTTCTTGATGAGTCTAAAAGATACTAAGTTTACTTAGAGTATCAAGTAAGGTTTACTTAATAGGATATAAAGATATAGTAGGTTTTTGTTAAATAAATTTTAGATATAAAAAGAAAAGTTTGTTGAAAGTTGATTTATTTTTGAGTGAATTTAGAAGATATTAACTTGAGGTTTTAATATAAAGTGTATTTTTATATCAGGAATTAGTTTACTTAGAATGCTAAATAAGATTTGTATAGTAGAATATAGAGATATTGTATATTTTTTGTTAAGAGTATAGTATATACATAGTGAAATTTTAAAAAGACCAATGAGTTTTTCAAAAAAATCCAGTAAGTTTTTCAAGTTTTGTGAATGAATTTTTAAAATTTGTTGGATTCTAGAAAATTTTAATAGATGCACAAAAGTGAAATTTTCTGGACAAGCCAATAGGATTTCAGAAAATTGTCGATGAATTTTAAAACTAAAGTATATTTTTTGGCAAGGGAGTTTGAAGTTTTCTTGATATAAAATTATTAATTTTGGTCTGTTTGTAATGTATTATATATCAAAATGTTACTTAGACGAATTTGATAATTACAAGGTAATAAAAATTTGAAATGTACTATCTCTATTTTATTTCCAAATTCTGATAGTTATATGAACATTTCTTATATTAAAAAAAATTGAGATTAGAATTGAACCAAATAATGCAATTGCTTATTATTTTTTAATTACTAAAATAAAAAACCTACGGCTATATATAATATTTTATTTTAAAGCAAATATCTTTAAACTCAAGCGTATAAACTTTGTAGAGAATAAAAAAATGAAAATACTGCATTATACAGGCAAAGTATCAACACGAGATAAAAAAAAAAACAGTCTAACACAGTCACAATTATGCAATAAAAGACTTTCATTTTGACAAAATTCAGTATAACTAGTATATTCTGTATCCTATATTTTTGAGAATTAATTCGTTTCTAACTTCATTATACTATATATATTTTATTAAAGAATAATACATAGTATTTCCTATTACACGATATTTATTATATTTATCAATAGTTATTTCTACTATTCTAGTATTCTTCCATTTATGAAAAAGAAGTTTGTTCAATATGTATATACTGTACAGTACTTGTTCATACAATAATATAAAGACCTTGAATTTTGATTGGTCAATCTGATGTTACTTATGATGTGGCACATAGGTATACCACATGATCGACATAATCTGGCACAGAAAACCAAAATACTATATAATTAGATTTTAATAATTTTGAGCTTGTTAGAATCCTCTCACTGAGACAAACATTTTAATAATAAAATTATTTCAAATGGACTAGTAGATCAAAGTTATTGCCAATTCTACAAATTAACCAATATAATATAAAAATTATATTAGAGTAAAAGTAAAATTTGCTTAATTGCAAAAAAATTTATTAAGTAAATCGGTTATATGTATTAAGTAAAATTTATTCAAAAGATCAAAATATGTATATTTTAAAAATTTTATATAAATTAGATAACTTTTTATTAATTAACTTTTGTCTTTTATATTTAATAAATAGAAATTTAAAAAAATTTTTAAATTTTTTATTGAATATAATATACAAAAATATAATATAAAAAGTTATCCAATTTAGATAAATTTTCAAAATATATGTATTTTGCTCTTCTAAACAATTTTTACTTAATAAGATATATTGATTTACTTAGTAAAATTTTGACTTTACTATAGAGTAACTACTGATAATTATATACATATAAGTATTAGACTATATAAAATTTATTTAAATTTGATTGGCTAGTTAGTATCAGATGGGAAGAGGGAGGGTACCCTCTTAAAAGGTGAAAATTACCTAATAAATGTCTATACTCTTACTAGAAATTGGGTGAATTAAATAATAAAAAATTTCTATAAAATATAATAATTATATTAGAATGACTTAATGATGATGTAAAATTAAAAAGAAAATATTATTATATCTATATTACTTTAATATAAAAATAAGATTCTCTCGTTTATTAGAACAAATGTCTCATTTTTATACATTTAGATTGTGAAAGAGAACACATTCTGAAACCTACTTTATGACATCAGCTATCGTGTTAGCCTCATGTCAATATGCATACTGCCTCCTTCGAGGGCTTTAAAATCACGATACTAATTTAGTTAGATAATTCGTTTAAAGCCTGGCACCTTACGAAAGTACCCGATATATAACCCGGATCAGTCCGAACAAAACAGAAACGGCAAAGACAAAAACACGAAATATATAAAAAACGGCTATCTGAACCGATCTTGGTTCACTAAGTAAAAGTGTCAAAAATGCGATTTTACTATTACTTCTATCAAATTCTAACACTAACCCTAATATTAATTTAAACGACCCCCAAAAAAGGGTAAGATTATAAAATTAAATTGTTACATCGGCTAACTTCATTTGTAAAGTTTTCAGTGATGGACAAAATTAATCAATTCGGCCAGGATTCTGATGCATTCCGACCCGGAATGTTGGTGATCCCTCTCTCTGAGTTATTGACGATCACGCCATTCGTGTCGAGCAGAGTATTACATATTAGCAAAGAAAATAATGAAGGTTTATGCAAAGGAAAATTTTTACCAAAATTTTCGCAACAATAGATAGTCCGTACAGCCTCCAAAATTTGTACCGTTTTTTTTAAATCCAGATTAATGGGATTGAATATTTAGATAAATTAGTAAGAGAAAAAGGGTGTTTATTCACAATACAATTATAATGTGTTAAATTTTATGTTTTCTGTGTAATAGTAACAGATTGTTAGAGGTTACATATTCAACCGTTTTGACCCGAGTTGTAAATTTTTGACTCGGTTGAACCGTTTTGACACGGGTGACACGGTTTACTATAACCTGGTTCTAAACTCTATTATTAACTAGTTGAAGCTGTAGGTTTCTTTTTCTTTTCAGCTTCAGCTTCTTTTTCTTTTTCAATTTCACTAACTATAGCCTCGACCTCTTCAATTTCCAAATTCTTTTGCCCGACAAAAATAATAACGTATTTAATGACTAGTTACAAGCAAAAAATGATTGACAATGAACCACGAGTATATACTTTTCTTACCTTAATAACGCTGTCATCTGTCATTAAAGCTATTTCAATATTCTTAGCTCCAGTTTGTACAACTTCTAACAAAGATTTAACAGTTAATTTGATAGTTTCATCTTTAGTCAAACCCTCTTTATAATTTTTTTCCAAAAATTCACGAACGGTCTTCGAGCTTCTGCCAATTGCATTAGCCTAATTATAACAAATAATAATAATTTGTAAATAAAAATTTATTGCATTAAATAGGTAAATGTGTTGTTTACTTAATTACCTTCCATGCAGAATATATACCAGATGGATCCGTTTGATAGAGTCTAGGCGTTTTATCATTTTCATCGAAACCAATGATGAGTGTTGAGATTCCAAAAGGACGAACACCACCACTTTGTGTAAATTTCTACAAACGGAATAATTTAAAAAGATACATATATTTGTAAACATAATTCAAATTGGAAAAGAAAAAAAAAAA